CTATTTTGCGCTCGCGACGGACCATATTATCCGCATGCAACCGCCTTGAGTCGCGATTCCCGCCATAAGAGAGGGGACCTAGTCGCTGGTTTTCAAATTCAGAAGCCGACGAAATCCGAAAGTACAGTTTTTGCAAAGAAAATCATTGTTATAAACTTTCGTTCAAGCTATCAAAGTCTACTGAACAGAAAATACATGGAATGTCTAAATATACTGAACATTTAGACCCCCCAGGATTTATGCCAGATTTCATTGTACCCAGAACAACAAAACAAGCAATGGCTCGGGTACAAGTATCTACATATCTACAGCCAATGTTCAAAGAAGAACATTGAAGAAAGAACAGACAACAAAGAAGAACAGCATCTAACCTTTTTGCTGTTTTTTTGTCCCTCTATGAAAAAAGTCGTCAAAATGAACGAAAAGTAAAGCCTATCTATAGCCTTACTTTTTTGCTGTTTTTTGCCGACTTATGAGAAATAGAAAAAATCGCTAAAAATGGACGAAAAGTTAAGCCTATAGCCTTACTTTTTTGCTGTTTTTTGCCCACTTATGAGAAATAGAAAAAATCGCTAAAAATGGACGAAAAGTTAAGCCTATAGCCTTACTTTTTTGCTGTTTTTTGCCCACTTATGAGAAATAGAAAAAGTCCCTAAAAATGGACGAAAAGTTAAGCCTATAGCCTTACTTTTTTGCTGTTTTTTGCCCACTTATGAGATATAGAAAAAATCGCTAAAAATGGACGAAAAGTTAAGCCTATAGCTTTACTTTTTTGCTGTTTTTTGCCGACTTATGAGAAATAGAAAAAATCGCTAAAAATGGACTAAACGTTAAGCCTATAGCCTTACTTTTTTGTTGTTTTTTGCCCACTTATGAGAAACAGAAAAAGTCGAAAGTTAAGCCTATAGCCTTACTTTTTTGCTGTTTTTTGCCCACTTATGAAAAATGGAAAAAGTCGCTAAAAATGGATGAAAAGTTAAGGCTATAGCCTTACTTTTTTGCTGTTTTTTGCCCACTTATAAAAAATG